AGATTATGCTGCAGTGAAATAATATCCGACAGTTAAAACCAATGCAACCCGTGGACGCAACGCTTTTTAAACGGAGGAGGGGGAGAGAATACTGGAAACCGTGACGGGACAAGCGACTTCGTTTGCCTGGGTGGGCAGCTGGGCTCGGTGTACATGGTGTGTGCGGGATGAAGCCTGTCGCCATCATCGACTAACTCTTGGAAGGCATAGACACGCTGACACGGTGCTTAAGCCTGGCTGACACTGAATCGACCGCGAGCAATTGGGTTTGTCAATCGTTCCAACAACCGAGAGAGCTCTGCCGGGTCCTTGTGATTGGGGTCCGACGTTGTTACAGAGCTGATCGGAATGAGTGGTCGAACTGGCGTGTCCGTTCCCGACCAACACTGGGGACCACAGGCCCGACCACTCCACAACGTGAGCAGGTCGGTGCATGCGATGCGGAGAGGGTTGGAGAAGCTCGGGCACAGAAGCCACTGACAATGAAATTTGTCTTTCCAGTTAAATTATCGTGTTTTAGGGGTAAAAAGCCGCCGTGATTTTGCCTTCTAACATGTGTGCACTTGTGTATCCTTTGACACAGCATCTTCGTTGCTCCTGCCCTTTGTCTCCTCCTGACATCAGAGAGGGAACGAACACCGGTCACGCCAGCCGACTCGTAGTGGGGCCACGCTGCCATTTAGACCACTCACAGAGCTTCCATATGGGTACGATTGCCCACACTTCTGCTCCACGGCAACTGTCGCCGCTCGCCTCCTCTGGGGCGTGGCCGGACCCCCCATTCCCAGCAAGCACGGCCCATGGCTCTTGCCCCAGAAAGCCAGAACAGCCAAACTTCGACCTCGGCTGTCTGGACTTCTGGAGTGGGCGGCTTCCCCGTCCTCGGCGGAAAACCTCCCAGTCCATCACACGCCCCAGAAACCGAGAAACTTCTTAAAACTCCCATCACCGAGATTCCCTTCCTGACCTTTCATTTCTTCCTCCCCATCACCTCTGTCCTGCCACCATCCCATTCTCTCCCTATTCCCGCTGTATATCCTTGCCCTCCCATCCTTCGAGCGCAAACAGCAGCGTCGTTTCTCTCCCTTCTCAAATATACCCCCGCATACTCATACACCATGGCTCCTCGTGTGATTGTCGTCGGTGGTGGCCGTAAGTTCTGCAGATTGATGTTTCTTGCGCGATTGTAACAGTGGCCCTGTCATTTGTTTGGCCTGGCTTTGCTTTTGCGCGATGAGCCTGACGATGGAAGTTCGGCATGTTTGGCGACATGTGGCGACAACGGCGGGAATATCCGCAAAAGCAAACGCTTGCTAGCGAAGCTGACTGCCAGTGTTGCTCGTAACCCTGTATTGCAGGAAGCTAACCATTCGTTCTCGCATAGTGTCTGGCCTAAGCGCTGCTCACACCATCTACCTGGCAGGTGGCAACGTCGTTGTCCTGGATAAGCAGGGTAAGTAGAATCGCGATTCTTGATATTTCGCCCGGGCCATGTCTTGATTCCGCTGTGACGAGTTTCACGAGTGCTATTCCACAGCCGGGATGGTGGAAGCATGCGGAATCTGGCATTTTGGCTCCCATGGCGCGTCCTAGCCATTTCCATATACTGACCGACATGTGCCTGCGTACAGGTTTCTTCGGAGGAAACTCCACCAAAGCCACATCCGGTATCAACGGTGCCTTGACAAGAACACAGGTCGAGCACGGTATTCCCGACAGTGTCAAGCAGTTCTACGACGATACCCTCAAGTCAGCCCGTGACAAGGCTCGCCCCGATCTCATCAAGGTCCTTACCTACAAGTCTGCTGCTGCTGTTGAGTGGCTCCAGGACGTGTTTGACCTCGACCTCACTCTCGTCTCCCGTCTCGGGTAAGTTTTATACATTCTCACGACCCATCTACATAATTTCGGCATTTCAACCGTCTACGGGCGGATTTTTGCGGGAAGCTGAGATGGAATTCCATGGATCATGAAGTTAACGTTGTACAGTGGTCACTCGCAGCCCCGAACCCACCGTGGTCATGATGCCAAGTTCCCTGGTATGGCCATCACCTACGCCCTCATGCAGCGCATCGAAGAGCTTTCCGAGACCGAGCCTCACCGAGTCACGATCATCAAGAAGGCTCGCGTCACCAGTCTGAACAAGGATGGCAACAACATCACTGGTGTCACCTACGAGGCCGACGGCCAGACTGCCTCTCTCGACGGCCCTGTTGTTCTGGCGACTGGCGGTTATGCCGCCGACTTTGGAGAGACTTCTCTGCTCCAGAAGCATCGCCCCGATACCATGGGACTTGCCACCACCAACGGCACCCACGCCACTGGTGACGGCCAGAAGATGGTCATGGCCATTGGCGGCAATGGCATCGACATGGACAAGGTGCAGGTCCACCCCACTGGCCTGGTCGACCCCAAGGACCCTGGATCCAAGTGGAAGTTCCTGGCTGCCGAGGCTCTCCGTGGTGAGGGTGGCATCCTTCTCAACGGCGATGGTGACCGATTCTGCGATGAGCTCGGCCACCGCGACTATGTCTCCGGCATGATCTTCAAGGAGAAGGACAAGGGCAAGTACCCCGTCCGCCTTATCCTCAACTCCAAGGCCTCCAAGACACTCGACTTCCACACCCGCCATTACTCTGGCCGTGGTCTCATGCGAAAGATGACGGGCCAGGAACTGGCCAAGGAGATTGGCTGCACTCCTGACCATCTCCAGAAGACCTTCCAGACGTACAACTCCATTGCCGAGGGCAAGCAGAAGGACCCTTGGGGCAAGAAGTTCTTCCACAACATGCCCGTAGATATCAACGACGACTTCCACGTTGCTCTTATGGAGCCCGTCCTCCACTTCACCATGGGTGGTATTGAGATCAACGACAAGGCCCAGGTCCTCAACCAGGAGAAGAAGCCCTTTGACGGTCTCTTCGCCTGTGGCGAGTTGGCTGGTGGTGTTCACGGCGCCAACCGTCTGGGTGGCTCTTCGCTGCTCGGCTGCGTCGTTTACGGCCGTGTTGCTGGTGACTCGGCTAGCAACTACCTCTTCCAGCAGGCCCTTTCCGGCACGGCCGCTGGGGCCGCCGCCCAGCGTCTGGGACAAATCTCCCTTCACCTCGACCCCTCCGCCCCTGGCAAGCTGACCGTCGAGTGGGCCAACGGTGGCTCGGGCTCCGGTGCTGTTGCCGTCCAGCAGCAGGCCGGCGCCGCTCCTGCTGCTGCCGCCCCCGCCGGTGAGTCCGCCGCCAAGGCCAAGCCCGACCCCAAGGCCTTCAAGATCCCCGAGACCGAATACACTATGGAGGAGGTGGCTAAACATAACAAGGAGGGCGACCTGTGGGTGGTAGTTAAGGGCGTCGTCATGGACCTCAGCAACTGGCTCGACGAGCACCCCGGCGGTCCCCAGGCCATCAAGAACTTCATGGGCCGCGACGCCACCGAGGAGTTTGAGATGTTGCACGACGACGAAGTTATCCCCAAGTACGCCCCCGAGCAGGTCATTGGCCGTGTCAAGGGCCAGGAGCCAACCCTCGAGTTCTAAGCGATTTTGGTAAAAGCAGTGACTCGGGTAAGGGATTCGGCCTGGAAGGGCTTGTGTACTAATGATGAAGAATGGGGAGCAGAGAGTCGAGAGGCGTTTTCATTTGTTTTGTCTTTGGCTAAAAGAAGGCGGGGTTTATATGCACATATAGAACATGAACAGATGGGAAAGCTGGAACAAGGAGACTGAGGTTTAGGAGGCAAGAGCTGAGGATAGAGCATCTCGGCGTGCCTGGGCATGATTCCCCTCGTGCCGGATGTCATTTCAGACCAGCACTTGTAGGCGCATTTGGATATTCGTTTTTGCTGTCGATGTTTTGTCTCTTCTTTTTTCATTGTACTGATAGTTGGGTCCGCATCAATCGACATGTAAAAGCATAATTCTGAGGAATTTTGCCGGCGTTTTGTGACGTAGAGTGTATGAGGTACTCTAGCATTCTTCATCGGTGGCGCACGCACGCATCGGATCGAACAAGGTGCCAGAGAACATTGAAGTAGAGGTAGCAAATGAGGTAGTCGTCGTACTTGTCGTATAATGAATGGTCTCGTCAATTGTAGTCTGGAGCGGCTATTCGAACACGTGGCCGATACTAGTGCTCCGATTGTTCGGTAGAAGCAAAGACTGCCCTGCCCGCCCGCATTCGAACAAGCGCGTGCCAAAAAGCCGCGGCAATATGTGCACATGCGGCGGCAATAGCCTATCCGGACTGACGCCGCTGCAAGATCAGATGAAACCTTAATCTTGGCGGACCATTGAATCAATAGCGCCTCGGGTGTGTGTTCAATGTTGTGTTAATGCCTATCTGCCCATTCCCAAAGGGCAAGTGCCGAGCGACTTGACCAGTGTGTGCCCGTTGGTGGCGGCGGTTGATAACGAACCGACATCGACCGTTGGGGAAGCATCAGGTGGGCCTGGGCTGGGGCGTGGCGTTCGTATTCTGGCGCGCGGTGCATCACGAGGAGACGGGGACGGTGTAAGGCTGAGATGGGTGCCAAGAGCGGGAATGGGAATTGGCGTATGCTACAGGGCTCGGTGGTATATGTTGCCGTTTGGGGGGGGGGAATTCCCACCGTGGATTGATACCGGTAGGGTTTCAGGGGGGTCAAGTCAAGCGTTTAGGCGTCGGTGATGGCTACATGTATTGGGCAGGCGTGGCGCCGCGCGTCGTGGCATGCTTGCTCTATCTACTGTTGCGTGCCTGGGTTGTTCACGTGGAAATCTTGGGGTTTGGCTCGGCTGCGCAATCTTGATGAGTGCTGGTGGGAACAGGGTGTTTGTGTCACGGCACCTGCGCTGCCAATATGGAGGAACCTCTGGCAGGTCGTCATGTTTATGCATCACGATTCACGGCATTCTCGTCAGTCTAGCGTCTTGTCTGTATTACTGGGGAGAATTTGCCCCCCTCGGTGGCTGGCTACTGCTAGGAAGAAAACCAGACGGTCAATTCTCTCTGATTAATGGGACTGTGCTACAGGGGCCCCTTGTCGGACGGGTAGTCTGGCATCTGGTGGGCGGGGGCGACGTCGACGTCGTTTTGCAGCGAGCCGTACAAGAGGTGGTCGAAGGGGTGGTCGTGGGCGGAGGCGAGGAGCTGGTCGCGGAGGTAGTCGGGGGAGACGGGGGGCTGGCCGCGGGTCTCGGCGCCGCAGTGGTTCATGGCGGCGGCGGAGCTGAGCTCGGCGGAGCGGGAGGCGAGCTCGTGGTCGAAGCGGTGGGCGGCGGAGCGGAGGTCGTCCGGGCCGGGGACGCGGTAGGGCATCGCCGCCGAC